CTAGAAGGGACCTCTGAACTTTGTTTGAATTATCAGAAGTTCTTATATAGATGACTCTGCATGAGGTCACACCACAAATTATGACTAGCCACTGATTTTATCACATTACCAATTTTTTAAAGTGTTTTTAAGCCCTAACTGCACGCAGTGAACAGAAAGAAGAGGTGTCAAGTCCACAAGTTTATTGGCCATTTACTGCTGATCATACCTTTCAAAGAAATCATGAATTGCTAACTGCTTCTTTGCTATAGGAATGTGCCTTCAGCACGAAGCTCTCTATACCAGTTGAGAAGCATCAAGGTTTACCATGTGTGTGCTTCATTTCAAACATTTGTTTACTTGCAAAGCTTTTTTCCTTCAAGCCTCAGGTGCTTATTTTTCATTTTAAGTCTGTAACGATTATAAAGCACACAAATTTCTAAATAATAGTGGGAAAGCAACAGATATTTTCTGGTATGGACCTACCAAAAGTATGAATTAACCGAATGATAGAGTTTGAATTAAGAGGCTTTTAAATACATTGAAAGTATAGAGAGCCAATAAAAAAAATGAATTGTGTTTGAATCAACCGAAAGTATATTTAATCAGCGTTTCTATTAACACGAGTCTACTGTACACTGAACTAAGGTCCGTGAAAGAGCCGCTCCCCCCCAACTTGGCGGTCCTAATTTTTAGGAAAAAGAAAATCGCGACAACAAATGACAATGTCGTCGCATTTCGCGTACGATGCATTTCCCAGGATCCGTTGCATGAAGGCTCATCTCGTACGCATCTAGCAGCCATCCCCGGTGGTTCAACGACCATGCTCCAACCACTGGATGTGTCTACCAGTGGTGGAACTGCGTCCATTGCGCCTTGCTGCGCATATTTGAGTACACCTTGTGCCAATAGTGCCAGAGTTCGTTAGTTCATCTGTTTTCATGGCATCAGAGCATTTATGGCCGATGCTTGTAACAAACACCACTAGACTTTTTGTATAGTGTCCTCGAGGCCCTCTTGCCTGCTCCATTTCAGTTTTTTGTTGGTTTTTTTTTTGCATTATATTCAGCCTAACCACACTCTATGCCGTCGCCTGTCTCTCGGTGGTTGAAAGTTTAGCATGCTGTCGTTAATTACTATAATTTTTTAAGGGACACGCAGAAAAGTTTTTTTTTTTTTTTTTTTCATGAGCCATAGCAGCTAAGCGGCAACAGCCATTAGCAATGCACGCTGTAAACGACACACTCAAGAAAATGCAGATTCTGCCGTGTGAAAGTTCGTTTGATAACTTTGAAAAAAATGTAAGTGCCTCTTAAGCCTATTGTGCAACGTTCTTCGCCTTGTCTATTACAAAGCTCAGCCTAAATGCCAGCATAGTGCGTGTCTCGCATGACCTAATGCTTGTCACCCGTCTTGATTGCAAAACCGACATAACACGGTGGAAAGTCAGCGCACATAGAAACTGAGCCACGTAGTGAGCCACAATAAAGAATAAGTGGTCTCGCGCATCCTAAGCACTATTAGAACAATCAGTGTCGTCGTCAATTGACACAAAAGGTAAAAGAAGACTCCTGGCCAGCAAATCTTCGCAAATGATTTCCTCCCACTTCTTAAAAATTACACTAGCAAACGTGCTATGCATGGCCACCATTTTTAAGCAAATCTCACTCTGACAGACCCAGCGCAGCGCTGCCACGGGGATTCATTGTTGTCAACCTAACTGCGTCGGTCGTGTGGTGGCACTCGTTCAGTTCAAACTATGATGCAAAACTGTTAGTTAAGGAAACAAAGTGAATGTAATTGCACTAGCACTTAGTGAATCCCAAAACATTCTTCCTGGACCCACTCTTGTGACCCCTGTAATATCAGCTGTTTAGATGTTAAAGGGACACTAAAGTCAAATAACAATTTATGTCAGAGTGAAAGCTCATTGTATGACAACATATAAAACGATAATATTACCAACAGCAGTGCCCTACTTACTGACAAATTAAAGTAAATGCACAAGAATACATGCGCCACAGTAGGACATTCTCAAAATGATACCTATGACATCAGATGAACCGCCTACAATTAATCTCTAGTAATAGATCTAGCTGCACTGAATAAAGAACCTTCCATGCATCAAGAGCAATAAAATGCTACTTGTTCGTTTTTGTGACTCACAGAAAAAAAAAATAACACTGAATGTTTCTATGAAAAACGGCGCGAGTGGTTCAAAAATTCAATTTTGGCGTGGTTACAGTGGACATGTCGTGCCATCTAGTGAGGCCCAGTTGAGCCAAAACACGTTTGCAATCTCGGAGCCGATGGCAGGAAATTGATCAATGGCCATTGTTTTTGCTGTGGCTCTCGCTGCTTTCTTTCTGTCTACTAGTGTCGGCGACCACGGAGTAAAGCCGGGCAACGTTGTGCATGGCAACAGTGATGCGAGTAGGACTGCTTCTTGAGGCGGGTAATTTGAAGTGCGCTAACCCAATGCGAGCCACTAAAACGTGACTTTATTTCAAAATGAGCCCTTCCTTGGCACAAAAGTAACACTACGAGGTTTCTCGATCGCTATTTCAACAATCGTCAACTTTATAGTTGCCTTTAGTGTCCCTTTAATGCAGCCCCTAAAGAAATAAATAAATAGCTAGTGGTATTTTTTAATGACACCAGCCATTCACAGATACCGTATGTGCCATGCTTGTCTTGCTACTAAAACTTCGACATCTTTTATGCCTCACCGTGAAGCCAGAATACGAGACTCTCAACTTGGTGCTAACAACTTTATTAATGGCTGCTTTCTGGGTGCCGGCCTTGTCTACTTTGCAGCTAGATTTCCTATATGCACATGTTAATAACAATGCTCCCTGATGTTTATACATGTTCTGCTCCAAGTGATCCTAAATTCCATCTCAGCTGCTCCAAGCTTGCTTCAAAGCACAGTATCTACTACTCCAGATCTGCTCCGAAACAGGCTTTTTCCTGCTCTGAAAATTGCTCTGGGTGCCACACCGGTCAATTAACAGGCTGTTTAAGGCCGAATTCCAACGCCACTACTCTAATGTATGGCAGCGGGCCACTGCGAGAAAGCACCGACCGAATGACTAAGGAGGGCGTCACTTCAGCTGGTCTGCTCTTGGATTTTAAATGCGTGTGTGCCATGTCCACGGACATTATTGTAAGTAATGTCACCGAGATTTCCAATGCCATGCACAGCCCTGAGGATGACTGGATACATGAACATGCGGATGACCTGAGCAGCGGCGCCAAGACAAGTCCAAGCATGAATGCCTATGAAGACATCTACCAAGAATGTGTTGCAGCTAGATGCCAAATATCACATCGTTCGGTACATATGGCACAATTAAAGGGACCCTGAAACAGTTCTGGCAATTTTGTCCTTTGCTCCTTTCTTCTTTGAACGAATTCATTTGGCCGGTAAACCAAATCCCAAGAATTATTAAGAGACCGATTCGAGCGCTCTGCGTAAACTGTGTAATTTATTACAATGCTTTACAGGTGCAAATCGCTGTAGAACGGTGCAGATCGGTGCAACTCGGCCAAATGCATTTTCAATCGCCCATTCATAAAGCGACATGCTATGCCCACTTGACGAGGCCAGAGCACGCTAGCAGCCACGATACCATGGCTGCTTATCTGATTGGCTGTCATGAGCTGTAGAAAGTGCAGAAGTAAGATCGGTTCGTAGGGTGGCAGCAACTGTCGTAGCAGATATAAACCACTCCACGATCTTGATCTCTTGCCAGATGGCATGTGCACTGCTTGGCACACTGTGTGATGGCCTCCGAGACTGCGCACAACCTTTTCGCGTGCGATCTCAGAGGTCGACTGGTAAAAGCTCAAATCGTCGAGCGTGCTCGTGAGAGCTCTGCGAGTGTCAGCGTGCCTCATGAGTTGATGAGGCCAGGTAGAGGTGAGAAGGGTGTGATATAATTGTCTGTAGCGGTCTTGGTACACGGTGTGTCACTAAAAATTTGTGAAGAGAGTGGTTTCATGATGCTCTAGTCTAACCGCTGACAAAACTTCAAAAAACCGTTTCAGGGTCCCTTTAAATCGGCTTTTCCATACATGGATCGAAAATTTCACATTCCTGCGGAAAGTTGCAAACTAAGTGCGGCCCTTACACGAATGCATATGGTGTATCTCGAAAAGGTTTGCCATATGGAACCTGTTGGCTACTGGTTTCTCTAAACTGCAGGTTCTTTTTCTTGCTGTCATTTTGGCACATTCCGCGTGGCTATGCTCACAGTTGCTGCATGTCACCTCATGGCCACTTCAGAAGAGCCTCAGATATTCAGTCACATTCTAATGTTGCATGACCTGCTCTACCATCCTTCTCTAAGACTTTATACTCACTCTTTTTACAAAGCAATCATATTTGAATGTGTCTTTAGTTGTGCAGACGAGAAAGAAGTGCCATTTGAGGCGTCTTGGCTTTTGTCTTATGTCCGTGCCTACATGCCCTGTCTCTTCCCCTAATACCTCAGCTCTCTTGTCATTCTATGAAATGCTGCATCACACGAAAAGCCCACACAATAGCTCATCTGCACAACATTAACGACTATACAAGTGCCCTATATAAATTCTTTCTTAAGCATGCAGCTTCCACTAACACTCCTCAGGTTGCTTGTGTGCTCTCCTCTGTTAATTGCTGCGGTGGCCAGTGGTGACGGTGCTCTGCTGCACACCCAAATGACATGGGTGTTCGATGTTGGCCATGGTGATCACGTTTCGATGAAGGCAAGATGCCAGGGGGCCGTGTACTGTGCTACTTCAGAGCATGTTAAGGAACCTCATGTGGTAAAAATAACTCACGGCTGCGCACTATAGAGTTTCTCACAACATGAGTTGCCTTGGGACGCTAAACCCCAGAAGCCAACCAACCAGGTAAACTTTTAACAATAAGCCACATCACGTGTGCTGCCTTTACCTAAATATACGCCTATCAAGTGTTTAGTCTAGAGCAATCTTATCACTAACTACTATGCTTAAAATGCAACAGGAACAATTACTTCGTGAGCATCTTTGGTTTAATGCATTCCAACACAGCTGTACTTTTTGTTGTTTTTTCAGCATCCCTTTAATTGTAAAATGCACATCAAATATTAAGAATATTTACCAAGTGATCATGTGACAATGCTGCCTCTAAAGGCTTACTTACAATAAGTTAGCATGAAGCTTTTGTTGGTAAAAAAAAATCATGAATCTGCCCGTAAAATTCCAGTCCCCATATTGGCGAATTCAGTCCCCATATTGGCATCTCATGACACGGCCAATAATAGCACTGCACGGGCTCGCCAGCAATTCTCTGCACAAAGGAAAAGCATAACTGGTTCGTGCAGATGCTGCCACCAACACAAACAGGAGTATTTCACAGCATGGGAAACTACCAGGCAAGAAACAAACCATCAACTGTCCACAGAAGCACCATGAGCTCCAGAAAAACACTTGATCCCATACACAAAAACTGAGCACTTGAGATGCTGTCACTTGCAACTTAAATTACTTGAGGCAAAAGAAAGAAGAAGCTTACAACATGCATACACGTTTAAAATTGGCAGCGGATACACATCAGTCACATAATGTCACCACTGACTGAGCCTGCTCTCAATGGGGGCTTTTTGATGTCTCTGGCTCGTACGACAACAAGACACCAAAGAAGGGAGGTCAGGAGACACTGTCGAAGAATGCCACACTCCAGGCATGGCAAAAGGCACAGGAAAATAACGGTTTGCGGTCCTGCTTCAGATTTTCAGGTCCTCCTGGGCTCCAAGGTTGGCAATGGTCTTCTTGATGCGAAGAGCTGTTAGCCGGGCAGCTGAATTGTGGTACCAGCACTCCTTCATGATCTTGGACATCACACGCAGCGCCTGGGCAGTGTCAGGCACATCAAATGCTGCTAGCACAATGCTGCTCACTTACCTCACACGACTGCCAGCGGTTCGGAAGGGCAGGCCTCTGCCGATCTGTGCAGACCACCTTGCGCATCTCCTCAATAGTGGGGTCGGCCGGCACAAGGTCATAGTAGGGCAGCTGGTAGTCTTCATAGATGCCTGCACAGAATGACACATTAAGGGCACATGACGCCGTCACTGCTACAAGCTATCAATTGCAGCTACATCATTATGCACAATGGTTACAATAACCAAACAATAGCTGTGCTGATAAAAGCAGGAACTATGCGAGATTCATTCCAACAGTATGACAGTAGGTGCATTCAGAGATACAATACAGAGCTTTTCATGACTAATCCAGTCATGAAGAGCATACAATAGTTTACTTTTGTAGAGACTGCCTCATCTGTAAATACTTGCAAAAAATTAGAATTTTTCTGCAATTTTATATTCAATCAATTATTCTACACAGCATTAACTCACAATACTTGAATTACAGGTGACCAGTGACCTTACAAGCACAACATTAATAAGAACAGACAAGAAAGCCGAGGAAAGTAAAGGGGCTGCTATTTAAAATAATTATGAACCAAATGTGAAGAAAGTAAAGCTGATGAAAAGATAACTTGCCGTTGTCAGTGACTGAACCAGTGACCCGTGTCCATTGCACCTATATGGCCCGTAAAGTGGAAGGAATGACTTCTGCTGTAGCTCGGTTCGCAGAGCATCAGGCGCGTTACTCGAGGTCGTAGGTTCAATCCCCAACAGTGGCAAGTTACTTTACACAGAAATCTGTTACGAGCTCTCAACAAGCGTCATTTCTGGCGGCGTAGTTGTCTGCCGCTGCCGGTGTCCATGACTACTATCGTGCGAAATAGTAAAAAATCTAAGAAAATAAAAACACTAAGGACACAATGGAATTCGAAACTGGGTCCCCTGCATGCCAGTCTGGTGTTCTACCACTGAGCCACACTGGTGCAAACTCTACTGCAAACTGACCCTAGGCAGGCTTCGTGTTGAGAAAGGAATCTCGTTAATATGAGTAATGAAGCATTTTAGAACAGCAAAGCAACAAACGGGTGTCACACAACACGAATTATGTGACCCGTGGGCCGTGGATTGCATCAACCAATTACAAAAGCCTTAGGAATAATTCTTCATCATCGTCAGATAAAGCATAAAAAAATTTGACAAAATTCCATGCAAGTGTGTAGAGGGTACCATGCTCCTCCAAAAAGTAGCATAGTGAAAGCCTCCCTGCTACACAAGTAGTAGGATGATTTATGGCATAGTGGGCACCCTACAAGTGTGCTTGTAGCAGTTATCCAAAGAGTGTTTAAAAAAGGCTCGAGAAAGGCTGCTCTTCCAGCTTTCGCTGTGAGTGTGCTACAGGTTCTGCGCAGCATGCTATTTTTTTTACTTTTTTGTCCACTTTACTTTTCTCACACTTGCATTGTAATTGCTGCAAGATTACATCTCTTACACTTTTTTGGCTTTCTTGTCTGCTAGTTCTAATTAATAAACAGCAAAAAGGAGAAGATGGAAGCCTGCGACGAAAAAAATCTGTAAACAGGGGTTGTGTGTCGAGCTGACATTTCCACAAGCAGACTTGTCTTCTTCAAGGCTTCTGCTCCAGCCTTGAAGAAGACAAATTCGCTTGTCGAAACGTCAGCAACAAAGCGCTATTTATTAATTTTTTTTCACCAGTTATAATTAATGCTATGCTGAACAAAGACCCCTTAAAATTCCCTTTCTTTTGCCAAGTCACTTTACCAATACCTCCAAGCACTTCAATCCTGCAATCAAACTAATGTAGCACATCATACCCTGATAATCAAGCCTGGCGTTAAGCAAGTGCATTTTCATTACAGCATTTCAATCCAACACCTTGTGCATAAACTCAGCGAGCTAACACTCTACTTTCATAATCAACCCAAGAAAGAGCATGATGTTGATACTATAATGACCTTGTCACACCACAACGTCTGTTTTCACACAAAAGTGAGAAAAAAGCGGATATTGATTTACGAGTTTACCTGTTCTTAATTGAAGTCTTAAATTGTGCTGCTAAAGCTAACGTCCTAAACCTGATGTTGAAATTTGCTCTCTCCAGTAAAGCACATATGTTAGCATGTACATACCCAAACCACCGCAACGGCAACAGCCTTCGAGCACAACAGAATGTGTGCCTTTCGACTTCTCAAATCTGGAAATTCACTGGGGGCAAATGGAAATAATTTTTTCCATGCGATGCTTGCAACTCGATCCAGCCTACGGTAGTATATTGATCATGATCGCAAGTGGCAACATCAAAGGGGCCTAACTAAGAATGTATTTGTGGCACATAACTAGGTTTCTGTGAAAAGATGAGCAAACTGTAGTCCTGCAAGCACCAAACCATATGCAATTTTGATTCTGAGACAGCTAAAAACCACTCTCCTTGCAGCAAACTGCATGGTTAAAGGGACAGGCATGCCCAGTGGCTGAATTCATGATTACGAGAAAAAATCCTAGGTAAAATTCATTAAGTTTGTTAAATAAAAAAATACAGATGTTTCTCTCTTCAAAAAAGCTACAGAAGCAACTTTTTAAAATTATTCCTATCTTGATCACCGATGATCTGCTCACTGTTCTATTTTAAATTTATGTCAGGTGGCACGCAGAATACTTGGTCCCTTCAAACTACTTGCCTGAATGTGTCACCTGTCTCATACTATGCACTACAACAGTGCTTACTGATTCATGTTGTCACGCGTTCCTACTTTGTTACGTGAATGGCTTTTTGCCAAAAAAAATCTGCTACCACCCCTCAGCACCGGTCACACTGCAATGTTGGAGAAACTTTGCAACAGTTTTAAACTGTTCTTATAAGACTGTTTATAAGACTGTACGTGTGACGCAAGCAGGTCAAGCTTAATGAGAGCCTTAAGCAAGATCCATAACTTTCAGAGTGACTGCACGACCAAAAAAAAAACACAGACATCAAAGAACACACACCCAGTGCACACTTCTAAATGAATCTTAGCTTAAGCTTTCAAGACAGCCACGCGGGCTGTTCGAATGAGCCATAAGCCGACAAACCACTTTTGCCCTGTATATACATCCACACATTCCAAACTTGTTAAGTGGGCCATTGTCAGTTTGTGCTTAAGGAATGCTTTCAGAAAGTTCTACTGCCACGTGGTAAGCTCAAGTTTTGAGCAGTAAACTAAACTCAGCAGGATATCAAAACATGTGCTGGTAACTGCCACAAAATGAATTTTAACAGAAGCCTGATGATGACCAAACCTCATGAGAAGCCCTTGAAAAGGCATGGTATGGGTTAGAGAGTGAAGAGATGCTGCTAATATATTTGACAAAAATATGCGCAGCTGGGTAGATCTTGAACTGCATAGAGCAAAGAGTTGGGAGTGTTGGAGCATACTGTCAGGTCAAAATACATCAAATAGATCTATTTTTACTACAGCTCTCCGTGAGACAGAAATTTAAGAGATACGACATCAGGAAGTTGGCAGGCATGGTAAGCAAATGCCACACGTGGGATAGGGTGTGAAGGACACTGTGTGGTGCATACACCAGGTCCTGGCAGAATTGCATAGGACCAAAAAATGTGGCAGACCCACCTCCGATGTTGCAGCGGCGAGCAATCTCCCAGAGTACCAATCCTAGGGCATAGATGTCAGCACGCTTGAATGAGTCAAAGTGGTTCATATTGATGGTTTCGTCCAACACCTCAGGCGCTAGGTAGCGCTTGGTGCCCACTCGGGGATTTGGTGGGATGTCGACAGAGTTGGTGGCCGAGTCGTAACGCACAGCCAGTCCAAGATCAGCAATGGCACATGCCCCACTGCTTTTCACCAAAATATTCTTGCTTTTGATATCACGATGAGCGATAGCCGGTTTTCCTGCAGGTACAAAGGTATCATCTGCATGACAACAGTACTAGCTCCGCAAAATAAACTTCATTACTCGGCGCATTCTTCTGCACCATCTTTTGCCCTCACCCACAGAGTAGTGAACTTGTTTGATACCGTTCAAATTTACACCTCTGCTTTCTGAAAGGGCAGTAATGAATCAATTTAAAGTGATAGAGAATCCCTTCATTCATAGTAAGCATTACCACAAATGCGGTATCCAACTCTGTCTTGTGCAGTGTATTTTTATACATATATATATTAATTGCAATGCTGTAGTTGGAGAAAGTTTGTTCAATGACAGAGTGGGGGAGGGATTCATGTGTTCTAATGAGAGAAAGTGAATAAAGAGCCCTACATAGTGCAGGAAGAACTGTTCCACAGAAATCTGTCTAATGAAGCAGAACTCTGCATTACCCATTTCTTAAAGTTGCCATTTATACCTGCTTGGTGGTACCATGGTACTTGTAAATTTGTGTCACCTCTACTCTGAACTCTATAGACTAATTGACATGTCACGTGGCATAGCTTCGGCTAGCTCAAAGCATGAGCTCAGACAGTGAAGTTCAAATATGTGCAATGAATCGGTCATGCTGGATCCACTGCTTAAAATCAGAACCAGTCATTCACCAAGATGTTATTTAGAACTGGTGCTCCGACTTTGCTCCACTAGTGGAGGTTATGTTACAGATTACAAGGAGTCGCTTTACACCAGAGATGAGTGTTCGCTCGAGGCGGCCGTCAGGTGATCTGAATCCGTCAGTGGAATTCAACGTATGAAAAGAACTACACTGGCACAGTAGAAGCTCACTCAACAGAAATCACTTAAGAACAGTGTCATCGACTGGTCATGTATATGTGCATATTGAAAACAAGCTCATATAAGTTACAGCAAGGTTTTTCACAACTCCCTGGGAAGAGAACCACAGAAGCAAGTTTGAAAGTATATAAGTTTATTTATTTATTTAAAACGTCTTTACAGGCCTCGTTTTGAGACTTCGGGTAAGGGGGGCATCACAAAAAAAATTAGAACACATTGAACACATTATTTAAACATACAAAACACATTAAAATAGTGGCCAATAATGAAAGAAGAGCAAAGGAGTAACAACCTGGAGTAGATAAGAAAACAACCTGGAGTAGATAAAAAAGCAATCTATCTAGAAAGCAATCTCTAATATTATAATAATAATACTCTTAGCAGTTACACGAGCCACGACAACAATACTATTACGAGGCTCGCTGCAGTGAAAATATAATTTCAACTACCTTCTTTAAATGTCTTGGCATATTACATAGTACACAGTACTACAGCATTTTGCCTCCATCAAAATAAGGGGTTGAACACACAGACTAAACCTACTTGTTTCATTCACCTACTAGTAGTTAGACTGCATGTATAACACCAATGAAAACCTACCTAGCCCTTCCTTCTATGGCAGCACACTGCAAAAATCCAATTTTGAGCCCTTCACAATCATCAGCACCCTGTTCAGTGCAGGCGAATCACAATGCCATTTTGTGCGCACAAGTTTCCTCACTTTATCACGTGACCTGCCCCGGAATGTTTTGTCTACTACGATGATATCGGCTACCACTCCTGTGGCCTGTCCACTTCACTCTGCTATCACTGAGGGTTACCCCTAGTGTCTTCTGAGTTTCAATGTTATTCTCTAGGTGGCAAAATACAATGGCTGAACAGTATCCCCATTACTGACAGCGGTAAATTACCAGTCTGGATTTGAAAGTGCCTGCCATATTTATTCCTTTAAATGAGCAGGTTTTCCTATTGGGTAATATATTGACATAGCCTTCAAATGGTTCAACGGTCCGATGCCTATAATGAATTTTCTTTCTTGTATTACTTTTGTCTTTAGCATATTGATCTGTATTCCTATTCCTCTATCTCCAATCTAGTCATCTGAATACTGCTTTTAGAGAAGCAGTGAATAGCAGTGGACAGATAGATCCTCTCCTCAATTAGGATTTTCCTGCTTCTCTTGAGCAGTAGCCCAGTACCCGTGGAATCAATCACTCAATCAATCAGCTTTTATTTCTCTTTGAGAAATATGGGGGTAACAGAAAAAGCTGAAGTACTGCGGCTTGACAAAACTCCGGCCCCCTACAAAGTCCAGCAGCAAATAAATCAAGTAGAAAAAAAAACTTTGCTGAAAATATAACATTTGAATTCAGTGCACTAATACAGGTAGTGGCAACATAATCAAAAACTAGGTTAAACAACAAAATATTTCATTCTTTAAGAAACATCGTATGTATTGAGACAGTCATGCAATTCAAAAGAATAAAGGGGGGGCAACAGGAAAAAAGGAGGCACAATCACAATTGAAAATACTGTAATGTATACAACATAAGTTTATAATTTAGGCCAACAGAGTACTATGAAGGCAATGAAAGCACAACAGGAATAAAAGAAAGAAAGAAAGAAAAATAATGAAAGCAAAGAAAACACCATGCGCCGAACAGATACGCATACACATCTGATTATCACAACGAGATGCTAGTGGAAAAACAAACCTTTATCATCACTCGATAAAAATGAGCGAAGGGTGCATATTGAAGCTGTATCATCACTCGATAAAAATGAGCGAAAGGTGCGTATTGAAGCTGTCTCAGCAGATATCCCATATTTAGAGTATCTATTTAAAAAGCAGCTAGCTGGAATAACACCGACTGATTTCCATAGTTTGACATAATGGCAGGAGCCAGAGGTCCTGACTTCTTGTGTTGTATGCATAGTGACGTCTTGTTAGGTGAAACGAAGTGATGAAGTCTATGTTGTTAGTCCTTATGGCGAGACGATATGCACAGCATAGACGAAGTGCGTAGGTCAATTTAACTTTTAAGTATATTGAATGCTTCAAAATAAGGGGCAGTGTGAGTAGCATACGGAACGTTGGCTATAGCACAAATAGCTCACATTTGGCATACACTGAGTTTTTTCAAGTTGTCAGAGGATGCGTTACCCCATACAAGGTGACAATAGTTTAACGATGACGAAAATAACCCATTGTATAACAAACATTTAGCTTTTTCATGTAGTATTTGGCGGTGTTTGTTAATCAAAGCAGTGAAGGAATTTAACTTGTTGCAAACATACTGTACATGTTTATTTTATGACAATGTTTCTGTAAAAATAACACCCAAATCTTTAATCTCGTTTATAGCACTAATTAAGTCATTATCAAGATATAAGTTTTTTGTAGGTTCAATGACTGTGTGTTGAGTGTATAAAAATATAGCTTATGTCTTTTTTGCGTCAATTCTCAAAGCATTTCCTTTTTACCACACTAATACTTCAGCAAGTGCGTGATTGGCTAAGGATACCAACCCACCCAGTTGTATTCCTCTGAAAAAAATGGGCTGTAACATCGGTGTAACCTACCCACTTACAATTTGTAGCAGATGAAAAAATGTCCTTAATGTAGATGATGAATAGAAGCAATCCGAGTATACTCCCTTGGGAGACCCCTGTCTTAAGGCGTTTTGTGTTTGAATTAAAGGTTTCATTCATGACAAACTGACTTATATGCTGGAGGTATGAACAAAGAAGATCATTGAAATTGCCACGCACGCCATAGTGCTCTAGCTTATACAGTTGTTTATTATGTTGAACACAATCGAAAGCTTTTGAGAAGTCAATATAGATGCCAAGTACTGTATTTTTGTCTTCAAATGCTTCTATTATGAATTATTTTGGGGCTAGTAGTGCTTGTTCTGTGGATTTCCCTTTTAGAAAACCATACTGGGCCAATGAAATAAAAGAGTGTTCAGAAAGCAAAAAAGACGTGCATGCATAATCTTTTCCATGCCTTTTGATAAGACTGAAAGTATAGAAATAGGTCTAAAGATACCCACATCATTTTTGTCGCCATCTTTGCAAATGGCAATAACCCTTGCAATTTGTATTTTCTTTCGGAAAACAGCCGCTTTCAAGCACTAAATTGTACAGAGTCGTCAGGACAGGAGCAATGATTGATAGGGCAAATTCGCATGTCGTTAGGATCAAGTGATCTTGAAGTTTTTAAGTCCTTGAAGACAGCTATAACCTCACTTTCCATTGTAGGGAAGAACACCATGCTAGAATGGAATGCGCTAGTGCCATGAATAGGATATGGTTGAATGTTGTATGCATTAGACTGGCCTACCGCATTGAAATGATCATTGAGTGCATTTGATAAATCTGAACCGACCTTCATCAGACTATTTACACACAAGCTTGAAATTGCAGGGCCTGTCTTAGGATAAATTATGTTGTTTAGTCGTTTCTCCAGCAGATCAGTGTTTGACGCTACAAAGAAGTGCTTGTTAAAGTATTTTTCCTTTCCTTTCTTAGCATACCATTCAGGCGATTTCCGAAAGGTTTGAAATTCTTCCATGATTCAGGATTTCTAGTCTTGATAAAATCCCAATAGAGATTGTTCTTAAACTTGACTTGGCTGCGAAGGTAATTGGTTAGCCATAATTTTTACGATTTTTCAAGTGCAAATCTGACAACAAATGGAAAATATTTATTGTACATTGTCTTTAGTTCAGCAATGAAAGTCTCATACATGGAATTTGAGTCATGTTGTTTGAGAACTACGCGCCAGTCATGAGCTTCGACTTCCCTTTGATGACCCAATCCATACAGTTTTTCAGCTAACTTCGCCAAGTATAACCGTTGCCACCATGGCAATGATGATTAGTACACGAATTTGCCTTGTCTTCGTGCTTGAGGGCTTCGAACTCTTTCTTGGCTTTGTTTATTGTAGTGTTTTGGTTTTCTTTCAGTTAAAATAATGAACAGTTTGTGAACTTCGCGAGCCAATTTGAATGGTTGAGCATAAAAACATAAAGGCGGTGACGCGAAAGTGCTGAGCATTTTCTGAACTTCATTTTGCAACAAAATCGCTGCAGTGCAAATGGAGCCAAACAGAGCTTAGACAAATTCGTGTACTACCCTCAATTCCCATGCTGGCTGAAGCATCATG